CCTAAAGAAATATTAAGACACAAGCATTCATATATTTGACCATATTAAAGTACTTTTGTTCATTGAGAACTTTACTCACTAAAAGGCAATTTAAAGAAAGTGAAAAGACGATGCATAAACAAACTTGGAGAAGGTAATCATAATACCTACCTACACTTGACAGAGGATTATTATCAAGAATACAGAGTATTTTATCACAGTTAAAAATAATAATTTTTAAAAGATCACATAAAAAACTTTTTTTTGAGATGGAGTCTCACTCTGTCACCCAGCCTGGAGTGCAGTGGTATGATCTCAACTCACTGCAACCTCTGCCTCCCGGGTTCAAGCGATTCTCCTGCCTCACCCTCCTGAGGAGCTGGGATTACAGGTGTGCACCACCATGCCTGACTAATTTTTGTATTTTTAGTAGAGACGGGGTTTTGCCATATTGGCCAGGCTGGTCTCAAATTCCTGACCTCAGGTGATCTGCCCACCTCTGCCTCCCAAAGTGCTGGGATTACAGGCAAGAGCCACCATGCCCAGCCCACATACAGAACTTCTAATCAACAAATAATGTAAAAGTAATGGGAAAATGCACAAGAGTCATGAACAAGAATTTTGCAGAAAAAACATATATAGACAGTCACCATATAAAAACCATATATGTTGAAGAAGCCATAGATCTACAATATCTCTGATATATTGCTGCTGGCAACGTAAATTGGCACAACACTCGGGAAAACAGTTTGGCTTTACCTCCTAAAGATGAAAAATCCACCAGGCGTGATGGCTCACGCCTGTAATCCCAGCACTTTGGGAGGCCAAGGCAGGTGGAACACCTGAGGTCAGGAGTTCGAGACCAGCCTGGCCAACCTGGTGAAACCCTGTCTCTACTAAAAATATAAAAATTAGCCAGGCATAGTGGCACACACCTGTAATCCACATGCTACTCCAAAGGCTGAGGCAGGAAAATTGCTTGAACCTGGGAGGTGGAGGTTGCAGTGATCTGAGATGACACCACTGCACTGCACTCCAGCCTGGATGACAACAGTGAAACTCCACCCCCCCCGCAAAAAAAGATGTACAATCACACAATCATAACACAGTAATTCTACTTCTAAAAATATACTCAAGAGAAATTCTTGCAAATGTACAACAGGACTTATGCATAAGACTATGCATGAGACTATTCTAATAAAAACTTGGAAACAACACAAATTTATTGAATGAATAACTGTGGTACGTTCATATGAAGGAATATGTACAGTAGCTAAAACTAAACCCTAGTAACATGAAGCAATATAGGTAAATCTTAGCAATATAATAAGAAAAAAAAAAAGCAGAAGGTGCTGCAGCAGTACTGGTGGCCATGGTTCCCGTAGCCAGAAGGAGTTGCCCACAGAGCCCCCCATACAATATACATAGGAAATCTACCTTTTAATATGGTTCAGGGTGATATAGATGCTATCTTTAAGGATCTAAGCATAAGGAGTATACGGGTAGTCAGAGACAAAGACACAGATAAATTTAAAGGATTCTGCTATATAGAATTCAATGAAGTGGATTCCCTTAAGGAAGCTTTGACATACGATGGTACACTGTTGGGTAATCGGTCACTTCATGTGGACACTGCAGAAGGCAGAAAACAAGATAAAGGTGGCTCTGGATTCAGAAAAGGTGGCCCAGATGACGAGGATTCAGGGATGACTTCTTAGGAGGCAGGGGAGGTAGTCACCCAGATGACTGGCCAACAGGCCCCGCAATGGGCACCCATGTCAGAGATGGTCCTCCCCTCCACGGATCCAACATGGATTTCAAAGAACCAACAGAGGAGGGAAGAGCACAAAGAACATGACTCCAGCTTAAACCTTGAACGGTTGTGATACCCCTCAATCAAGTAGCCAATCCCAACTCTGCTATCTTCGGGGGTGCCAAACCCAGAGTGGAATTCATCCACAAAGAGCAAGAATGAGCCTGCGGTTGGGAGGGAGTGGGACTTGGGGGGTTGGAGCAGGACCACAGCCTGGTGAGTCCCTGGGCTGTGTTCCTGCTGCTTCCACTTCCGCGCCTGCCACTGGCCTCCCCACAGTGAAAACACAGCTTGTTGAGTGCATGCCAGCTGTTAACAAGTGGTTTTTAGTACATGGTGGGCTTTGCTGTATCTATGTAGCGCCTGTTTGTGTGTTTTTTTTCTTTCTACCACTGCTTCCCCATTTTCCTTCTGTCCTCTTCCTCCCAGCTCCTTCTTTTCCTAGCAGCACATGGGGTTCACCGGAGGATCGGAGGTGGCTGTGTGGGGGAGTCATTTGGGCTGCGGTGCTGCATCATTTTTCTCCTTGGCTTTCTCTTTTTACCTTAGACACTGGCCCGACTCCGGGCGTTTCCTTTCATTTCTTCAGTGTTTCTCTTCTGACCTGCATGTTGAGTTCTGTATTGCGTTGGCTTCCAACAAAAACCAGAAGTCACTGACAGACTGAACTGCAGTATAGTATTCAGCTGTGATGGACATAGAGAATTGGAGGCACCTTGTTTTCACAACTAGGATAAAAATAGCTGTTAATCCTTGCAAGGTCCTTTCCATTTCTATTGAGAGGGAGCCCTGGCTCCATGACCCCTTCCCTAAGTGGACTGTCCAAAGGGATAGGCTCACATGAGAAACAGTGAGACCTGAAAGTGGAGACTGTGGAATAGTGGTAGGGAGTCCATGGAGAAGATACAGTGAATGTTCGTATGCGTTCACGTGTTTTTGTTCCTGCTCTTTCGAGGTTGTGTCCCAGCTAGTTCACTCCTTTCACCAGACATGGTCGAGGTTCCCCTCTCTGGCCAGCTGCAGCGAATGGCCAGATGGTTTCTTTTCTGCTGGGCCGAGGCACTTTGGGGGTTGGGGGTAGTGCTGGCACTGCACTTGGTTGACTGCAGTGCTGACACAGCGTTTCCCCAAATCCCTGTTGCCTGTGTGTTTGTGTTTATCTGTTCCTAATACAGACAACACAACGAGATACTGTGCTTCCCACCTCCCCTTCAATTCATAGCCAAAATGGTTCTAGAATCTGGTACTTTACTCATTTCCTTTGATAAATGAAATTGTACTATGCAGAGCTGTCAGGAAACTTCAGATAACCGTATAGGACTTTAGCTGTCTAGGTCTGTGGCTGCATCTTGGGGACACACTTGATTGTTCCCATGTGCAGGGTTCAGCACTTACCTGGGAGTGGTAGGGGTTAGGCTTTTGAGCTTGAATGCCTATGTGTGAACAGATTAAAAATGCTTCAGTACCCAAATCCCAGTCTTCCCTTTGAGGAGCAGTTGGGGGGTGGCTGGCAGCAAGGTCCTAGGAAAGAGACCCTTGCCGGGTGATGGCAGGGTGGGGCGCCCAGCGGAGTGTGCTTAGTTATTGGTCACCGGCTGTCATCCTTGGCTTCTCCTACTGTGTCTGTGTTACAAGTCCTCAGCAATCCACAGAACTGACTCTCTCCTTCCTTCCACCTGTCAGCTTCTCTGCTTCTGAGATAAGAACCATTTCTGTAACACCAGTACTTAAGAAAGACATGCATTATGTGGTGTAATCAAGCCTGATGCTTTCAGATCATCTACTTACATCTTCAATGTGGATAAGATAAAGAAACAAAACAAATGCATCTAAACTTCTGGGCAATCCAGTTGATTTTTAAATGTAAGAATGGAATTCCAAACACAACACATTCAGCTATATGACAGAAAGTAAATCTATGGATATGGTATTTTGTGAAGGATCTTTTCAACAAAAGAAACCCTTACGTAATTTACACACACACACACACACACTAGGAAAGATGGACTAACTACAACCCAAGTAGAGAAAATATGAACAAGGCCTGCTGGACAGTTACACAACCTTGCACTCAACAACTGTGGCAAATGCGTTCTCTTCAATCACATGGAACGTGTGCAAAAACTGCCCATATACTGGGCCATAAAGCAAATTTCAAAGGACTGAAATTATGCCAAGTATATTGTCTGACTCCAAGGCAATTATGCTAGAAAAAAATGACTAGAAAAATCCCCATATAGGCTGGGCGTGGTCGCTCATGCCTGCAATCCCAACACTTTGGGAGGCCAAGATGGGCAGACCAATTGAGGTCAGGGGTTCAAGACCAGCCTGGCCAACATGACAAAACCCCATCTCTACTAAAAATACAGTAAAATTAGCTGGATGTGGTGGTACGCCCTGAAATCCCAGCTACTCAGGAGGCTAAGGCCAGAGAGTTGATTGAACCCAGGAGGCGGAGGCGGAGGTTGCAGCGAGCGGAGATCAGGCCACTTCACTCCAGCCTTGGCCACAAAGTGAGACCCGTCTTTTTTTTTTTTTTTTTTTTTTTTTTTGAGATGGAGTCTCGAAATGTCGCCCAGACAATGGTGTGATCTCGGCTCACCGCAACCTCTGCCTCCCAGGGTTCAAGCAATTCTCCCGCCTCAGCCTCCTGAGTAGATTACCTGGGATTACAGGTGCCTGCCACCATGCCCGGCTAATTTTTAGTAGAAACGGAGTTTCACTCTGTTGGCCAGGCTGGTCTTGAACTTCTGACCTCGTGATCCACGGGCCTCAGCCTGGCAAAGCGCTGGGATTACAGGCCTGAGACACTGCGCCCGGTGGAGACCCTGTCTTTAAACAATAAAAATAAAAAGGCCAGGCACTGCAGCCTGGGCAATAAGAGTGAAACTGTCTCAAAAAAGAAGAAGAAAAAAAAACAGAAAAGAAGAAAAGCCAGGAAATACTAAGCTAGGCAATTCCCAGATGAGTCTAATGTGGCAAAACCGCGGCAGGTTGGCCATGTGAGCATGGGAGGTGTGGGGAGCAGAAAGCAGTTGTTTGCAGCCACTGGGTTCCGCCGGGTGGGCTCACTTGGGTGGGCCCAAGGCCAGAGGGAGTCCTGGAGGCCGGGAGCTGGAGGGTGGGGAGACACCGCCAGGCAGGGGAGGGCGGCCTTGCAGGTGTGGTCCCGCTCACACCTCCACCACCGCCACTGCCACCGCCACAGGGAGAACGCGGAGAACATGTACTACTTCTCAGAGCTGGCCCTGACCCTCAACGAGCACGAGGAGGGCGTAGCGCCCACCGACAGCCGCCTGCGGCCCGACCAGCGGCTGATGGAGAAGGGCTGCTGGGACGAGGCCAATACCGAGAAGCAGCGGCTGGAAGAGAAGCAGCGCCTGTCGCGGCGCCGGCGGCTGGAGGCCTGCGGGCCCGGCAGCAGCTGCAGCTCGGAGGAAGGTGAGGCCGGTGACTGGAAGGGCGCCCCGCACGGGAGGAAAGGGGTGCCCGGGTGGGGGTTCCGCGGGGACGGATTCCGGGGGAGCATGCCACCTGCCGACCCACCAGCCCACTGTGCCTGCCCAGCAGAGAAGGAGGCGGATGCCTACACGCCACTGTGGTTTGAGAAGAGGCTGGACCCGCTGACCGGGGAGATGGCCTGTGTGTACAAGGGCGGCTACTGGGAGGCCAAGGAGAAGCAAGACTGGCACATGTGCCCCAACATCTTCTGAGCGCCACCCCTGCAGCAAATACAGGCGCCTGCACAGCCCGGCCCACCTGTTTATTAATGCACTCAATTTAGTACTGAATGGTCTTTCTCCCAGCCCATTCCCAGCCCTTCCTGTTTCCTTTCCTATTTTTTTCCCCCCACACTTTCTTGGGACTCCCACCTTGGAAGGAGGAAGGGCTGACCTGGGTTCTCTTCAGCCCCCAGGTGCGCCGGGTCACCCGTGCCCCTTCATTATGGACCTGGGCCCTACTGGAACCCCTGCCCCAGTTACCACAACTCAGGCCGGCTGGCCCGGGCCACGGGCTGCGCAAATCACCAGCCCCCAACCCAGGGAGGAACTGGCCCCTCCTAGGGAGCCTCTTCGACTTTTTTAGAAAAATGATCTCCATTTCTTTCCAGCCATGATGTTTAGTAAATATTTTTAGTACCGCAGTTAGCAGACAGCTTTCCAAGTGTGCTTTCTTGCCACAAAAGTGTCCTGGCAAGAGCCCCTTATTTTTAAGACATCAGGAAGCCAGACCCCTTTGAGTTGGGATAATTTTGTAGCTCAACATATCAAGTCCTCGATGGTATCTGAGCTGCCCACACCCCCACCTGCCAGGGCCCCACAGAGCCCAAAACAGAAGGGGGCTGCCCCAGCCCAGCAGAGCACAGAGAGTTTCTCGAGCTCCCACCCACAGATGCGCGAGAGGGTACTGATGGCATCCCCCATGTGGATTTGAGGGCAGCAGTCCCTGGCCTCGCCCTAGCCAGCCCAGGTGGATCCCTAGCCCCAAGAGGCCAGGAAGGGCTGGAAGGCAGGGCCTGCAGGTGCTCCCCGCCCTGAGACCCAGGCCCCAAATCAGCAATAATGAACAAACCCTTGGCCCAGCCTGGGCTGGTGACCCAGGCACCAGAGACCTTGCATCCCTCCTCATCCTAGGAGGCCCCTAGGGGTGCCCCATCTCAGTGCCCCCTGAACTCTTTATTTGCCTAATTTATATATAGAGAGATATATAAATATATATAAAATAGCTATTTTGCTTAAATTTCTACAGTATGTAAAAGTGAAAAAATGATGAAGACGGGCACACCTGTCTGAGTTTGGCCCTCATGTCAGCTGTGCCCTTCCCTCTCCTCATGCCCCCTTCCAGCGGCTTCTGCCAACCATGGGGGGCTGGACTACCATGGTCACTGACCCAGCCCCTCAGAATCTCACACTCCAATCCTTTCCATTTCAGTTTAGTCCTAAAAGTTCATCACAGGGTTTTTCTTTCTACTCCAGGACTGGTTTTGTTTTTATATATACATAAAAAAAAAAAGTGAAAACACCAATGTGTGAAATGCCTTACGATGCCCACTGGAGAGGCGGGGTGGGGTAGGGCAGGACGGCCCCACTGGGGCTCCCACAGAGCTGTGGAATGTACCTCTCCCCAACACTGTTTTGTTAGCAAGCACCTTTTGACCAGTAATAAAAAACCTTGGCTTTGGAGTTTTCCACTGCCCTGTCCCTCAGTCTCTCTGTGTCTGGGTGGAGGGGGCTAACATAGAAGGACAGGTGACAGCCTACAAGGTGGCATGGGGATAGAGCATGGGGTGAAACAGCAGGGGGGTCGGGGAAGAGAGGAGGTAGGAGACCCAGGAAACTGCCCAAAGGGCTGGGGAGAGAGTTGCAGCTCTGTCAAAGGCTGCCCTGATGCTGTGGTCACAGGGCTGACCTGAACCCAGCTCTGCCCTTTGGAAGGGCAGTGTTTCGGAAGGGCAGTGTTTTAGCCAGGTGGAGACCACCAGCATCCCCCTCCCGTGTTTCAGTTCCTGGAGCTGTCTAATGGGAGGCCTTCAGGGGGAAGGCCAGCCCTGGTGAGTTCCGTGTCACTTGACAGCAGCAGCCTGGGTTGCACTTCCAGGTGAGGGATGGGTGAAGCAGGGCACCCCAGGGTCATCAGGGCCAGTGCTCTCACCATCTGCCTCCACACCCTAGCCCTGTGGGATCTGGGGCTGGCCCTGCACAGCTCCTTCCCTGGCTAGGCTTCCCCATCTGTGGGGCGGTGGCCACTAGCAGGGGGTCCCTGCTGAGGAGCTGGTGGGGCAGGTCTCACTGGAATAGAAGTGAGATGGAACCTCAGGATGCACCTGACCCAGAAGGCAAGGGAGGGGACAAAGGCCAGTCTACTGAGGCAAAGAGAGGGTTCTGAAGAGCTTGAACAGGAAGTGACATCAGGGCAATGTTTTAGAAAGACTACTCTGACCAGCAGGACACAAGATCAACCTACACTCAGTGGTCCCACATACCCCAGCCATCGCTGAGTAGAAAATATAATAGAAAAAAAGATCTACAACATAGGCCATCTGACAAAAATACACAAAACCTGTAAAAGACCTTTATGGATATGACAAAGAGGACCTTAGTTAAGAGGGGAAATACATCTTCATAGATAGGTTCACATTCAGTTATGTTAGTCCCAAACCTATAAATTCAACATGATCCCTATCAAAATCCTACCAGTAGTTCAAAAGCTTGACAAGTTGATTGTGAAATTTATATGAGAAAGTAATTGTAAAAAAAAAAAAAAAAAAAAAAAAAAAGCGAAAAGGGGCCAGGTGCAGTGGCTCACACCTGTAATCCCCAGCACTTTAGGAGGCAGATCACTTGAGGCCAGGAGTTCGAGACCAGCCTGGCCAGCATGGCAAAACCCCATTTCTACTAAAAATACAAAAATTAGCCGGGGGTGGTGGTACACACCTGTAATCCCAGCTAGTTGGGAGGCTGAGGCAGAGAATTGCTTGAACCTGAGAGGCAGAGGCTGCAGTGAGCTGAGATCATGCCACTGTACTCCAGCAAGAACTCGGGGGACGATGAGGGGACCATGTGGGCTTGACCTGCAGATGCCCAAACAAGCTGGAAGCCTACTGGGGACACACAGCTTCCTTTTTCTCCACTGCACTCTGATCACCACCTGGCTGCCATATAGTGTATTTGTTGATGGTGTGCCTCCCTACCCCAATGGACTGTGAGCTTCATGAGAAAAGGAATCTGGTCTTACACATTGTAGCATCCCACTGCCTGGCACATGGTAAGTGCTCAATGAATAGCTGTCGAAAGAATCAACACCAGGCCAGGAAGACCAGCTACAGCAAACACTCAGTAGGACAACACCTGAGCAGTGGGGGGCGTGACTGCAGTACCATGTTGGGAGGAGACTCAGAAATGGAACTGGGGAAGAGCCACGCCCAGGGACCCAGGAAACTCCTGCCTCCCCCAAACTCTGGAGTCCAAATTGCTGCTCCTGACAGACTGTGGGATAGGAGTCAGATTCTGTAAGTGGGGAAGAGAAGGCCTGAGGTTCCCTCATCTCCAGGAACATGGCTCAGCATGAGGGGAGCTGGGAGGAGTGGACAATGGAGAGATACATTTCAAAGTGGAACACAGAACAGGACCAGAGACAAACTCAATGCTATTTAACTTACTGCTTTTATGAAGCTAGCCAGCATACATAACTTCAGCAACAAAGCCTGATAAAGACAGTATGAAAATAAAGGGAATATATAGTTCAGTCTCATGGAAGAAAAGAATTTTCATAAATCCAAACAAGGGAATAGCAAATAGAATCTAGCCACATAGAAAAGACTGAATCTCAGGTTGGTAAGGCCATGCCCAAATTAGGTTTACTGCAGAAATGCAAGAATGGCTCAGTGTTGTGAAGCTTTCCATGGTAAATAATTCATTACATCAGCCAAAGGACTTCTCCTTCTGGCCATAGGTAAACTAGGTTCCTGGAAAACATTCCTTTGTGGAAAACTAGACAGGTTGGATAAAATTTCTTAAATGTTGGCCGGGCGTGGTGGCTCAAGTTTGTAATCCCAGCACTTTGGGAGGCCGAAACGGACGGATCACGAGGTCAGGAGATGGAGACCATCCTGGCTAACACGGTGAAACCCTGTCTCTACTAAAAAAAAAAAAAAATACAAAAAACTAGCTGGGCGAGGTGGCGGGCACCTGTAGTCCCAGCTACTGGGGAGGCTGAGGCAGGAGAATGGCATAAACCCGGGAGGCGGAGCTTGCAGTGAGCTGAGATCCGGCCACTGCACTCCAGCCTGGGCGACAGAGCGAGACTCCGTCTCAAAAAAAAAAAAAAAAAGGATTTTTTTACATGTTAAATGCATCCATCAACTGGAAACAATATGAGGAATACTCAAGTCAAAAACTAAGTGGGTATGAAAACCTGGAGAGTTAAGAAAAGGTCTGAAATATTTTATGTTGCAATTATTTACAAAGCCTAATGAACTTAACTGTAAGTTTTCACTGCCTCAAAAAAGCCTCCAAAGGTAGGGCATATAATAAGAGATTTGGGGCCCCCAAGGGCTATACCTTCAATGTAATGGTGAATCTAAAATAAAATACAAGAAAAATCACTTGTCTTAAAGGTTGGTCCTGAGCAGAGAAAAACAAAATCCCCCTAAGAATTTGTAATCAGGAGTGGACCCTCAGTTAGTTTTGTAGCCCAAATACACACTACCTGAATGGCCCAATGAAACCTCTGATAGAGAACGTAACATGGTCCCAAGCTGGCAATGTTCCCAGTCACTTGGGGGACGCAAACAAGTCCTCTCTGGAAGATATCTCCTTCATTCTAGGCCTTAGAGAACCTCAGATATGAAATTGCAGGGAAAATGAGCAGCTCACAGTATAAAATCTTCAAACACACAAGGCAACAAGCACCCACAAGAAAGGGCAACCAGAAATAACAGATATCAGAATCAGACAGAAAACTCTTCCACATAGTGAAATTATCAGATACAGAAGAGAAAATAAGCACGTTTAATATATTTCTAGAAACAGGCAGCTTGAAAACAAGTGAAGAGTAAATATTCAAAAATACTAAACAAATTTCAAGAAAACGTTTTAAAATCACTAAAAATAATCCAGTGAATAGTTTTACAACAGATTACACAGCTGAAGAGAGTATTAGTGAAGCAGAAGTGAGATCTGAAGAAATTTGGAATACAACACAGAGACATAAAGAGGTGAAACATATCAAAGGGAAGTTAAGACATGAAAGGTAAGATCCCATATATGTCTGATCTATTTCAAAAGGAGAAAATAATTTTTTATGGAACAGAAGCAATCTTTGAAGAGTCATGGCTAAAAGTTTTTCAAGAAATCATAAAAAACACCAATATATAAACTTAAGCTCAACAAATCCTAATTATGGTAAATAAAAAGAAATCCACAGCTAAATACAATATAGTAAAACTGCAAGATTACTAAGACAACAAAACCTTACAAGCAGATTTTTTTTTAATTACCTTCAAAGAGCATCAATTAGGCTGGGTGCAGTGGCTCACACCTGTCATACCAGCAGTTTGGGAGGCTGAGGCAGAAGGATTGCTTGAGACCAGCAGCTGGAGACCATCGTGGGAAAATAGAAGAGACCCCATCTCTACCAAAAAAAAAAAAAAAAAAAAAACTAAATTAGACATAGTGGCATGTGTCTGTAGTCCTAGTGACCCAGGAGATTAAGGCTAGAGGATTGCTTGAGCCCAAGAATTTGAGGCTGCAATGAGCTATGACCACACCACTGCACTCCAGCCTGAGCAACAGAGTGAGATCCTGAAAATTCATCTCCAAAGGAAGGCCAGTTAGACCGAGAACAGATTAGACTGAGAGTTAGCCTCCAAAGGAAGTCAGAAGACAAGTATTACCTCCAAAATAGAGAAGAAAATGTTAGTATTCTCCTCAGTCAAAATATATTTTCCACAGGCCACGTGTGGTGGTTTATGCCTATAATCCCAACACTTGGGGAGGCCAAGGTGGAATGATCACTTGAGGTCAGGAATTTGAGACCAGCCTGGGCAATACAGCGAGACTCCATCTCTACAAAAATAAAATAATTAACCAGGCATGGTAGCGTGTACCTGTAGTCCCAGCTACTTGGGAGGCTGAGGGGGGAGGATAACTTGAGCCTAGAAGTTCAAGACTACAGTGAGCTACACAATCATCCTGTCTCTGTCTCTGTCTCTCTGTCCCTCTCTCTCTCATATATACACACACACATATATGTGTGTGTGTGTGTATGTATGTGTGTATAACTAAATTTAACATACTAAACAGTGTATTAAAATATTTTTTAAAAATATATATATGTAGTGTCATGTGGAGTGAGACTATGAGTTAAGATTACATAAAACTTACCAGGTAATCACAGAAGGAAGAACAATACTAAATTACTTCCAAAGCAGTAGAAGAAACACATTGAATGCAGGGAGGAAAAGCTCAGTAAATCTAAAGAAGGCAAGAGAGGAGAGGAAAAAAGAATGTAGAATAAAAATCACAAATAAGAGAATTCATCAATAATACCTCAGTAATTACATAAAATTAAGCAATCTAAATGCTTCAAGGAAACAATATGGACTAAAAATCCAGCTATATGCTATTTACAAGAATACACCTAAAACATAAATATATAAACTAAACAGACTTAAAGGCAAAAAATATTACTAGACGTCAACTACTAGAATTTTTGAAGTCACTTTGTAGTGATAGAAGGTAAAACTCATAAATTTCTAAAACTCTTATGCACCTAATAACATCTCAAAATGTATAAAGTAAAATGGATAAAGAGAAAGATAAATCCTCTATGATAATGGAAGACTGTAATGTATTTCTCCCAGTAATGAGAGCTCAGACAACAAATTATGCTAATTACTACATAATTAACACACGTGATGTCATGGACACATACAGGGAATTACATGTGACTGCAGAATACGTATTTTTGAAATGCACACGGAACTTTTATGAATATTAACCACATATTTGATCCAGTCATAAAGCCTCAGCAAATTTCAAAGGACTGATACACAGACCACATTCTCAGACTTGCATGAAGACAGTTCAAAATCAATGACAATGACAAAAAACTGGGAGAAAAAACAGACTAGAACATTAAGAAACATATTTTGAAATAACTCATAGGTCAATGAAGAAAACAAAAGAAATCAGAAAATACAGTTAAACAAAAATACTACATATCAAAATGTACAGAACACAGGTAAAGCAGTACCTTGAGGAAAATTTACAGCATTTAAGGCTCATGTAAAAGACTAAAAGATTTTTAAACATCCAATTTGAGTCAGAAAATGAACATTAGAATAAACTCAAGAAAAGGACAAGAATGAAAATAAAGATTAGATATTCATTAAATAGGAAAATAATAAAAAGAATGAAGAAAGCTGAGGTTGGGCCGGGCACGGTGGCTCATCCCTGTAATCACAGCACTTTGGGAGGCCAAGGCAGGCAGATCACGGGGTCAGAAGATCAAGACCATCCTGGCTAACATGGTGAAACCCCATCTCTACTAAAAATACAAAAAAAAAATTAGCCGGGCGTGGTGGTGGGCGCCTATAGTCCCAGTTACTCAGGAGGCTGAGGCAGGAGAATGGGGTGAACCCGGGAGGCCGAGCTTGCAGTGAGCCAAGATTGCGCCACTGCACTCCAGCCTGGGCGACAGAGCAACACTCCGTCTCAAAAAAAAAAAAAAAAAAAAAAAAAAAAAAAAAAAAAAGACTTATAAAGACTTATAACCATTTCTTTTTAAAAATCAGTTAAAAGTAGTCCTAACAGGCCGGGTACAGTGACTCATGCCTGTAATCCCAGCACTTTGGGAGGCCGAGGTGGGTGGATCATGAAGTCAAGAGATCGAGACTATCCTGGCCAACATGTTGAAACCCCACCTCTACTAAAAATATAAAAATTAGCTGGGTGTGGTGGCACACAGCTGTAGTCTCAGCTACTCAGGAGGCTGAGGCAGGAGAATCACTTGAACCCGAGAGGCGGAGGTTGCAGTGAGCCGTGATCCACTGCACTCCAGCCTGGTGACAGAGCGAGACTCCGTCTCAAAAACAGTCCTAACATATACACACAAAATTCTACACAGATGACCAAGTAATAATTCCAATCTTAGAGAAACTTTCCCAGAGTAGAGGGAAGAGAGAATACTCCCAAAATCATTTCTTGAAGCTAACATAACCTGCTCACAAAAACCTGACAAACAGTATGAGAATGGACAGTTACAAACTAATGTCACTTATAATGGTACAATTCAAAATAAAATATTAATAAATCTAGCAATATAGAAAAATAATTATTATTCCAAAAATACAAGGTTTATGCTGAGAAAAACTAAACAATATAATTCACCACATTAACAAATTAAAGGAGAATGCTACATAGTTATACTAATATGCAGAAAACACTTCAGGTAAAATTCAGCACACATCCATGATATTTAAAAGGAAAAAAAAAAGGCCGGGCACAGTGGCTCTTGCCTGTAATCCCAGCACTTTGGGAGGCTGAGGCAGGCAGATCACTTGAGGTCAGGAGTTCGAGACCAGCCTGGCCAACATGGTGAAACCCCATCTCTACTAAAAATACAAAAATTAACTGGGCATGGTGGTGGGCACCTGTAATCCCAGCTATTCGAGAGGCTGAGGCAGGAGAATCACTTGAACCTGGGAGGTGGAGGTTGCAGTAAGCCAAAATGGCACCACTGCATTCCAGCCTGGGTGACAGAGTGAGACTCTGTCTCAAAAAAATAAAAATAAATAAATAAAAGGTTTAGCAACAGGAACGGAAGAAAATTTCCATAATCTGATATCTACACACATACACACACGCACTTTTTCCTGTGAGACAGGGAGCAAAAAGAGATGCCCACTTTCCCTCTTTATATTCAACATTGTACTCAGAGCCAATGCAATAAGGCAAGAAAAATATTTATATAAAGTATGAGAATTGGTAAAATTATCACTGTTCACTGATGATGTGACCTAAAAAATCCAAAAGAATTCTGCAGATAACAGTCAATGGATATATAAAAATCAATTACATTTTTATATACTAGCAACAAACTATCAGAGAATGTAACTTAAAATTGTCATTCATCTGCAGTAGCATTACAAATCATCAGGTTCCAAAGATTTATCTAACAAAAGATATATGAGACCTCAAAAGGGAAAACTAATACTTTTTTTGAGAGACACTAAAGAAAGCTCTAGATTGAGAATTATACCATATTCATGGTTGGGAAGACTTACAAAGGTATACATTCTTCTCAGTTGAGGACAGATATAATCAATTCCAATGGAACCCCTACAGGTTTTCTCATGGAGCTTGATGATTATAAAATGTACACGAAAATGCTAAGACCTAACAGTAGTCAAGACACTATCAAAGTGGAAAAGTACCAGGTGTGGTGGCTCATGCCTGTAATCCCAGCACTTTGGGAAGCCAAGGCAGGTGGATAGCCTGAGGTCAGGAGTTCGAGACCAGTCTGTGGTCAACATGGTGAAACCCCATCTCTATTAAAAATACAAAAAAATTAGCCAGGTGTGGTGGTGCATGCCTGTGATCCCAGCTACTTGGGAGAATGAGGCAGGGGAATCCCTTGAACCAAGGAGGTGGAGGTTGTAGTGAGCTGAGATCACGCCACTGCATTCTAGCCTGGGTGACAGAGTGAGACTCAGTCTAAAAAAAAAAAAAGTAGGAGGACTGGCTCTACTAGCTATCAAAACAATGTAAAACTATAAATTAGTATTGGCATAGAGAAAGAGACAATAGACAAATATAACCAAATTAAAATTTCAGAAACAGATTAATACATAAATGAACATTTGATATATAACAGAGGTAGCACTGTAGATCAACAGTGAAAGAAAAGACTACTCAATGAAGGGTGGTGAGGCAACCAGGTATACATATGGATAGAAGGAGAGAAGAGGAAGGGAGGGAATGAAGAAGGAAAGGAGGACGGAAGGAGAAAAACTGGACCTCTACATCACACTATACATGAAAGTCAATTCTGGGTATATAAAGGTCTAGGCCAAGCAAGGTGGCTCATGCCTATAATCTCAGCACTTTGGGAGACTAAGATGGGCGGATCACTTTAGGCCAGGAGTTCGAGACCAGCCTGGCCAATATGGCAAAATCCTATCTCTATTAAAAATACAAAAAATTAGCTGGGTGTGGTGGCACATGCCTGTAATCCCAGCTACTCAGGAGGCTGAGGCAGGAGAATCACTGGAACCCAGGAGGCAGAGGTTGCATTGAGCCAAGATCGTGCCACTGTACTACAGCCTGGGCAACAGAATAAGACTCTATCTCAAAAAATAATTTGAGATAGAGTCTTTTTTTTAAATAATTAAAAAAAAAAAAATCTAGGCCGGACACAGTGGCTCAAGCCTGTAATCCCAGCACTCTGGGAGGCCAAGACGGGCGGATCACGAGGTCAGGAGATCAAGACCATCCTGGCAAACATGGTGAAACCCCGTCTCTACTAAAAAATACAAAAAACTAGCCGGGCGAGGTGACGGGCACCTGTAGTCCCAGCTACTCAGAAGGCTGAGGCAGGAGAATGGCATGAACCCAGGAGGCGGAGCTTGCAGTGAGCTGAGATCACGCCACTGCACTCCAGCCTGGGCGACAGAGTGAGACTCCGTCTCAAAGAAAAAAAAAAACAACTATACAGATGGTCCTCAACTTACAATAAGGTTATGTTCCAATAAACCCATAAATCAAAAATATCATAAGTTAAAAATGCATTTCATACTTCTACTGAACATCATAGCTTAGTCTAGCCTACCTTAAATGAGCTCAGAACACTGACCTTAGCCTACAGTTGAGTAAAATCATCTAACACATAGCCTGTTTTTTTTTTTTTTTTTTTGAGACGGAGTCTCACGCTGTTGCCCAGGCTGGAGTGCAGTGGCGCGATCTCGGCTCACTGCAAGCTCCGCCTCCCGGGTTCCCGCCATTCTCCTGCCTCAGCCTCCTGAGTAGCTGGGACTACAGGCGCCCGCCACCGCGCCCGGCTAATTTTTTTGTATTTTTAGTAGAGACAGGGTTTCACTGTGGTCTCGATCTCCTGACCTTGTGATCCGCCCGCCTCGGCCTCCCAAAGTGCTGGGATTACAGGCTTGAGCCACCGCGCCCGGCCCACATAGCCTGTTTTTATAACAGAGTGTTGAATATCGAACACTGTACATTATAGAGTATCAAATGTTTACCCTTGTGGCTGACAGCTGCAGCTTGCGGCCACTGCCCGGCACCACAATATCTTACAGAATATTGCTAGCCTGGAGAAATACGAAAATTCAAAATTCAAAGTGCAGCTTCTACTGGTTATTGCTTTCACAACATCATAAAGTCAAAAAAAATCATAAGTCAAACCATCATTAAGGTAGGGACCATCTGTATATGAAAGACAAAACTATAAAGGCTTTAGAAGATAAAACAAAACATCTTCATGACTTCAGGGTAGAGACGTATTTCTTATTTTTGTTTTGTTTTTTGAGATGGAGTTTCGCTCCTGTCTCCCAGGTGAGTGCAATGGTGCAATCTTGGCTCACCGCAATCTCTACCTCCCAGGTTCAAGCAGTTCTTCTGCCACAGCCTCCTGAGTAGCTGGATTACAGGCGCCCACCATCGCGCCCGGCTAATTTTTGTATTTTTAGTGAGGACGGGGTTTCACCATGTTGGCCAGGCTGGTCTCAAACTCCTGACCTCAGGTGATCCGCCCACCTCAGCCTCCCAAAGTGCTGGGATTACAGGCGTGAGCCACCGCGCCCGGCCAAGAAGTATTTCTTAAACAAGTTATAATAAAACTATAAATAAAAGACTGATAAATTATAATTCTACATTTTTAATTAAGGACTCCTAGTCCTCAAAAAGACTCTGTAAAAAGAGAATAAAAAAGAAGGCATACCAGAGAACAGGAGAAGAAATCTGCAACACAGATAACTTATAAAGAACTTGTCTCCAGAATATACAAAATTCAAATCAGAAAATGATAAAATAGAAAAATGGGCCCAAATCTTGAGCAAACACTTCATCACAGAAACCTAAATGGTCAATAAGGCCAGGCACAATGGCTCACACCTGTAATCCCAGCACTTCGGGAGGCTGAGGCAAGTGGATCGCTTGTGTCCAGGAGTTAAAGACCAGCCAGGGCAACATAGCGAAACCCTGTCTCTACTAAAAATACAAATATTAGCCAGGCATTGTGGCACATGAGCCAGGGCGACATAGTAAAACCCTGTCTGTACTAAAAATACAAAAATTAGCCAGGCATTGTGGCACATGCCTGTAGTCCTAACTACTTGGGAGACTGAGGCAAGAGGACTCCTTGAGCCCAGGAGGTGGAGGTTGCAGCGTGCTG